CACGCACGCACGCACGCACGCACGCACGCACACATGCACGCACACACACACACACGCACGCACACACACACACGCACGCACGCACACACAATAGCAGCACCCATGACATAACTTCATTAATCATAGATTCATAATTAAATGGCTGCCTTGTCATTCACAGCCGTTAGTAAATTAGGTAATTTACTGCTGGCTCCCGCAGCTAGAATGAATAGCGTGGCAGTACGATGCTGAGACTAGGTGCATGTCTACTTGTTAGTGTGGAACTGAAGTCTATATAGGAAAATGTAGAAGACATACTATAAAGATGGCAGTGAGGAGGAGTAGGAAGAGGAGCAGGAGGGGAGAGAGGAGACGGAGAGGATGCAGGGGGGTGTGGGGGAAGGAGGAGATAGAGAGAAGGTGGGGAAGGAGGAGGAAGAGAAGATGAAGGAGGGAGAAGAGGAAGAAAGAGAAAGAGAAAGAGAGAAGAAGAACCAGGGGGAGAATGAGAGATGGTGAGGAGGCTGAGCAGGAGGATGATAACGGGAAGGAGAAGAAAGACGAGGTGGGGAAGGAGAAGGGAAAGGAAGAAAAGAATGCAAAGAAGGAGAAGAAAGAGAAAGACGAGGAGAATAAGACAGCAAAGACAGAAAAGCAGGAGTAGAAGTTGGGGTGAGAGGGAGTACAGCTCATATGGTCCAATGCTGACCAGGGACCATTGCACAGGTGTGTCGCGTGCGTGTGCGTGCGCGTGCGTGTGCGCGTGTGTGTCGTGCATGCGCGGGTGTTTGTGTGTGTCGTGCGTGCACGTGTTTGTGTGTCCGTGTATGTGTGTGTGTGCGTGTATGTGTGTGTGTGTGTGTGTGTGTGTGTGTGTGTCTGCGTGTGTTGGGTCATGTATACTTGACGGCTGACCACACACTCACCTCCGTAAATGCCGATCGTCTTAATGCAGTAGGTGGCACCGTTGAGCCCACCACAGTCCATCGGTTCGAGAGCATCGCGTCCGTGATCGTAGTTTTCCGTGCACGCCGGGTCCGTGACGCTGTTGCAGTCGTAACACTGGATGCTCTCACCTGTAAGCAGACATCACACAGGTGTCACACTCAACATGAGATCGCACGATACACACATACTCATAGTGCGTTCGATTTGCTTCCACAGAGCCACCTGGGTTAACCTGGGTACGAAATCGAACGCATCTGGGTTAGGGAAGATAAACGAACGGCTTTTGGGTTAACCCGGGGTTAATTATCATCATGGATGCCAGTGACAAGAAAAAAAGAATAGCAATTGCAATCTTATTATTAATGAAATCTAAGAATGAGCAAACACACGCAGTCATTGACAGTCATGCTTCATTACTACTGCTACAAGGCCGTACGCAGCAGGGGGGCAGCAGGGGCAGTTGCCCCCCCCCCCTAGAGATTTTCAGAGTATGCCTTTTAATGGGACAAATAGGGCAATAGAGGGCGTGGGGAGTACCTTTGCCCCCCCTTCAGAAAATTTCCTGCGTATTTGCCCCCCTACAGAAAATTTCCTGCGTACGGCCTTGTACTGCTACATTCATGCTAATTCAGCCCGCACCGATATATAATATCGTCATCATTTGTGCCATTTCGTTGCAATGGATTGTGGGATACTTCCCCAAGTGAGTGGCTCGGCTAGCGGGTTACTTCTGCCTCACCCGGGTAATGCAAAAATACCACGTGACTGCCAAATCGAACGTATTTGGGGCTGGCCCGAGTAGACCCTGGTTAACTTGGGGAAGCAAATCGAATGCACTAATACATGTATCCAGGGCCGGATTTAGGCACGAGCTAAACAAGCTACAGCTTAGGGCCTCATAGTCTGAAGGCCTGGGGTCTCTCAAAATCTTAGATATTTATGTTACAGTTTGATTATAATTGATATTTAAGTAATGATTTAACAAATTTAACCCAATTTCTCTGTTAACAATTGCCAAAAAAAACCTCTACCGCTCTCCCATAGATTAGGGCCTCGCCATATCTAAATCCTACCCTGCATATATCCTTACATTCTACAGGGTACACAAGATATTACATAGTACATGTATTACACACTGTGTGCATAGTGTGTGCAGTTCAAAATACATCACAGAGAGTGTGTGCAAACGTGGGGCATTTTTTGCTAAACACGATACAAATTCTTCAATGTCCTAATTCTAATACGATATGTAGTACTGATAAGTTAAGTTTAAGTTAAATCCTTCCCGCGCCTATGTGGTGCATAGGGCAGTGCCTATCTCCGTTTCAGTAACCCTGAGGCCCCGCAGCTGCTTTCACAGTAAATGTTACAGTAGGGGGTTAGTCCACTGATAGTAATACCAGGGGCGGATTCAGACCGTATTTGCCGTATTGGGAAATACGGTCTAGATTTCAAAGTGCCCTTTGAAATTTTGCGCTCACTGTGGGGTGGTGTGCCCTTTTTGGGCGATGTGCCCTTTAAATCTGGAAAAATACTGTCTAGCCTCAGCCCTGGAACCGGCCCGGAGTACTGA